ATATATCGACAATTTTAAGATCAGCGAGCACTATCGCAAATGCATATTTTTTAAATTGATATCCATACCCACTTTAAACTAGTTTAAGTTTGATTATATAAAAGGTGATATGTCAGCTGACCTTCGATGTCTAGCGATTTTTATTGCCACTGCGTTAAACTAATGAAATTCTATACGCTCCGGCATGTAGGCTTGTATATACATATGTGGCACTTCACACATATAACTATATGCTGTCATAAAATGTATTATTGCATAATCTTAGGCGCTGTGACTGTGAATATCAACCATTGAGCGACGCAAGCGAAATGCGTAATCAAAAATAAATTTATGTGACACAATTACGCAATAAAACATTTAAAAAAATCGTGTTTAATCAATAAAACAGTGTTTCACAGTGTCAAAAAATTGCATGCCAAAATTAAGAACAACAGCATGTAAAGCCGAGTAAACATCCCAACACTCTCACGCTCGGTACAAGCGTGCGGCGCTTGGTGAGCTCGTCCATCTACAACAAAAGCGAGTGAGCAAGCTTGCCACCTTGGATGGATCATGGGTAAATATAAGCGTTTCACACATAATAAATCAATTTAATTACAAACAAATTTAGCAAAGCAGTATTTCTTTGAAATAAATATTTTGTATAATAGCGAAGCAACAAAAACAAAATAATTGTTTAGCAAGCGCAACTGAAATGTGCCGTTTAAATGTACTTTATGCAATTGCTAACTCTTTCTCTTTAGATATTTTTACTTTCGGAATATTTGTACAAAATTACGAACTAACTGTAAAAGTAACTGTAAATTTCTTTTTCTCAACACTTGAAATTATACACAATATTTACTTAACTTATAAATAACCAATTTAATATATCATTAATTTTTGTACAATGCAAAAACACTTAAAAACAAAAAAAAAACCATAAAAATATTTACGAAAAAATCCTTAAAAAAACTCAACACGAAAATAATACAAAAACGTCCGAGGCAGGTAAATTGACTATAACATATTTTTACACAAATGAAATATTCGATTTCTGCTAAAAACTTTAATTGGTTGACGCTTTCATTTCATGACATTTATGCTCATACCAACTGCATTTTAATTGTTTGAAACTAAAAGCATTCATGAAAAGTTTTGTCAAAATGCCTTTTTGATGTTTGAGTCATCAAGTTACTTTTAATGCATTTTCATTGCTTATCATATTTTGGAAACTTCCGCAAACCGCTTTGTTCACTTTCGATTTCGGTTTCCTATCATCTTCACTTTTAGGTGTAGTCTCGTTTTTGCAAATAAATTTCATTTTCGAACCCAAAACTCATTTTCAAAAACACAAGTCTAGTGTTTGCATAAAAAAGTTTACCTGCACTTTTTAAAATATTTTGCAACTGTCATTTTTCTACACAAATTTCCATGCATAACTGTTATCACTATCACTATATTATGTTATGTTGTTCCTTTTGCCTTAATATTCCTCAATATTTACATAATTTGTAATATTTTTTGTAATAATCCATTTTCATTAAAATTGTTTCTCGCAAATTCTTAAGTCTTAAGTTCCCAAATCTTGCAGGTTTGATCAATGAATTGTTAAAAAAATTATTACCAAATTCATCGTACAACAATAGTTAGTTTCAACATTCATTTTATACACAGGCAGGAATACTAAACTTATTTTTAAAGTACTTCAGACTGTAAGTGTTCTGAACAACTGTACTTCGCGCAATTTGCGACTTTGCTCTTAGATACCTTTTGACCACACTTCTCTAGAAAGTTTTTATTGAGAGCTGTTTTCTTCTGCCATAAGTGCTGTTACAAGTTCAGGTCATTATAAAAATAAAACTACATTTCTTTTTTTTTTAACCTTCTTTTTATCTTGTGTGCTGAGACAGAACCTTGTTAGAAGTTCGTATAATCTCTATTGAAAAGATTATGGTAAACTGCTTTATCATGCCTTCTAAAACATCCTCCTGGTACAATACTGTCTCAGTTTAAAACTCTTTATCTCAGTAGTGAAGAGGTGTAACGCCTTTACAGGAGACTCCCCAACAAACCATTACAGCAACTAGATCGTCACCACGTTGAATCCTTGGAATAATATTTTTTGCCTCTTTGGATGTATATTCATTGATTTTGTTGACACACGATAGGCTGGAGATGATCTCGAATAAGAATTGACAGTGATCTGTCCCCTTTCCTGTTTTCCAAGGTCATTTATGCGTGTTCGCACATTGGTTCCAACCACTTAAGACCACTTCTATTCCTGTCATCAACTGCAGATATTTGGAAAAAAAACGATTAAGAGTGCGGTAAACAAATATTCTCAAGATGTAAAGTTTTTTGAGAAGTTCATAAACTTTACTTGCGCTTTTTCTAGACTAATGTGAAGCAATCATCGCAATAACGGCATTCTTTCCTGCGAATGTATCTTCGGTGTATACGCCGTAAACTTTGTAAAACAAGTACCTCTTCGTACGCGCTCTAGAACATACTACATCTTATATCACATACTCTATCTTACATTTAACATTCGCTTTTGATTATTATTACTGCGGTCTACAGCTTCGAAATCTCCAGAATGTTTAATACTAATGTTTTTAGTTGTTCTCGCTGGTCGATACATAACCTATATTACATTCCTTTCGAACCTTTCAACCTCTCTTTCCAATAATTCCTGAAGATTTGCTTATATGCTGTTAATAGACCTCACATTTTAAACAAACTTTATAACTAACCTCAAAAAATTGGCAAACGCCATAACAGCCATTGATCACATATAAATGCGTTACTTTGTGGTTATATGTGGAAGTTTATAGACAGATCAGTGAAAGTCTACTTACGGTTGCATATACCCGACTGCTTCATTGTTAATTAAACTCCATTGACTCCCAAGCCCTTATCTAGAGTATATGCTGCGAAAAATAAATTTTTATAATAATCAGTACCGAATGAGCTGACGAAGCCTTCAGAAATTTTAAAATTTGTTTGACTTTGATTATGTAACGCCAAACTCCCTTAACCCCGAGCAATGTGCTCCTCTTCATGAAGTTTTCAGTCAACGATTTCGATGAACATAGAAACTTTTACCAATCAGCAGCAGTTATTACTTTTCCAGATGCGCCGCTTAAAGGCCTTTGGTCCAAAGTAAGCGAGCTTTGGAGCTTACCTTCAACCTAACATAATTCTTTAAGTTTCTTTATATGAACATATTTCTTAAGAAAAATTTGGGGCCGAAAGCAGCATTTAAAGAAGATTCGTCTTCCTAGCAAGGACTATCGGTAAATACGGTAAGAAATAATTATTGTTTGAATATTTGCCAGACTTTTTCCAGAGTTCATAAAACATGTTGTTATTCCATCGTTAGGCTTATATCTAAAGTGTGATCCATTTCGAGGTTCCTTACGTTAAAAAAAACAAGTAAGGAAGGGCTAAGTTCGTGTGTCACCGAACATTTTATACTCTCGCATGATAAAGTGATAATCGACATTTCAGGCGTGGTTGTGAACCGATTTCACCCATATTTGGTACATGTCATCACGATGTTAAGAAAATATTATATACCGAATTTCATTGAAATCGGTTGAGTACTTCCTGAGATATGGTTTTTGGTCCATAAGTGGGCGACGCTACGCCCATTATCAATTTTAAAAAAAAACCTGGATGTAGCTTCCTTCTGACATTTCTTCCGTAAAATTTAGTGTTTCTGACGTTTTATGTTAGTCGATTAACGCACTTTTAGTGATTTTCAACATAACCTTTGTATGGGAGGTGGGCGTGGTTATTGTCCGACTTCTTCTATTTTTGAACTGTATATGGAAAATATGGTTGACATAGCTATGGCTTATTTATGGCTTAGTTATGACATTTTATAGGTTTTCGGTTTCCGCTATTTTGTGGGCGTGGCAGTGGGTCGATTCTTCGAACTTAACCTTCTTATGGAGCCAAGAAATACGTGTAACAAGTTTCATCATGATATCTCAATTTTGACTCAAGTTACAGCTTGCACGGACGGACGGACAGACGGACAGAAGGACGGACGGACAGACAGACATCCGGATTTCAACTCTACTCGTCACCCTGATATAACCCTATATCTGACTCTTTTAGTTTTAGGACTTACAAACAACTGTTATGTGAACAAAACTATAATACTCTCTTTAGCAACTTTGTTGCGTGAGTATAAAAAATAGATACTTCAAATTTAATAGGTTTATTGCCATTCGAGAGAACATTCTTCGGCATTTATTGCTTGAAGATTACCTATTTCAAAGGATCCATCAATTTTTCTAGTCAGTTTGACTGGCAACTAGCGAATGACACACCTGATGTTTTGCTTCAAATTCTGAATCGAAGCAGAATTGTACACAAAGATTTAAGGCTTTACATATCCCCACAGGAAAAAGTCTAACGTTGTGATATCACATGATCTTGGTAGCCAATCGATCGGCCCAAAACGTGAAATTATTTGCTCACCGAAGTATTGTCTCAATGAATCCGTTGCTTGAAAACGTCGGATCTTCTCGGAACTTTTCAAGAACCCGTAGAGCAAACCGATGCCGCTTGGGAAGATCGAGTGGATTCAGTTTTTTCACAACCTATATTTTATACGCTTTCAATTTAAGATGCCAACTAAAAATTCATCAATTCGTTCCATATGTTAGTTCGAGTTGCGGCGAATCGACTCTCCACGGTCTACGTATAAACTCTCAGCTATGGCTGCTACATTTTCTTCATTGCTTGCCGAACATGGTCTATTCGGTCGCATATTATCCAATAATGAAAGCTGGGTCTCAAGATGGGTAATAGTGATGCGAATAGTACGTTCAGTAGTCTGATTATGTTGATCATAAGTGGAGCGAAAAACGCGAAACACATTCTTTGGAGAACGTGAACTTTTGTAAAAAAATTGAACGGCTTGTAAACGTTTTCCAGACGTAAGTCTTTCCATGATTAAATGCCAAGCAATACTGAACAAAAATAACTTTAGTGCTTAAGAAAGCTATCTCTACCTCTCTTGAAAAAGGTATATAGTTATTTGATTGCTGCTCAAACTGAATCATGTAAAATAATACAAATTTCGCTTTGAACTGATTTCAGAGATTTCGAATCAGAAGCAACGAGATAAAAGGCAAGTTTCTGCGAAATTCATTTTTCAATAGCTCCCTAGAGCAAACTACTTGCTCCTTTTCTTACGAATTGTATTCGTCCGCTTTGTTTAGCAACAACTCCCACCTATATTGTCTTCATAGTATATATGTAGGTATTTACCAGACCTTGGCCCACCGTATGCCATTACAAAATTTTTTTTTAGCTTTTAGTCACCGATATTTGATTTTATTATTCCGTTTCATATTATAAACTCTAACCTTCAAGTACAAAAACAAAAGTGAAAACTAACAAATATCATCATTCTACGCCTCTTACTGCACCATAATTCTGTAACAGTGAATTTTTTCCCTTTTCTTTCCATTTTTTTTAATTTTTCTATCCTTTCTTATATTATCTCTTCGCTTTCACCAACAATAACTGAGCGCCTGCTGCCCTGCCACCAAAACC